AAAAAAAAAAAAGAATGTTTTATAGAAGCACTACATTATCTTCTGATATCTAATTGAATATAAAATGATAATATCTAAAGACAGTTCTCATTATTTCAGGAAACAGCCCCCACATAAAATCGAATATACTCTCAGGAAGCATTCGGAGTCTGTGGAGGGCAGTGACTGGCCCTCTTTTTGATTTTCAAGGAGACCCTGCTCAGCAAGGTGGAACCCTCATCTTAGGTCCAGGTAAACATCAAAGCCCGGGTCCAGTGGCACACTTTTTGTGCCTTTTAGAAGTTAGGAGGCCACACAGTTTCTTCATGAAACAGATTCCACGTAAAAATGGCAATTTGGCATTGTAACAGTCACGATTCTGTACTTGTAGGAGTTACCTTTGTTTGCTAAGGCTTCTGTGTATTTTGGTGCCCGTTACTGGATATAATGTGCCCATTACTCTGTGCCTGAGTGATTTCAGGTATTTGGGATGGGAAAGTCAGTGGTGGTTGGGTGAAGTGTATGTGTCAATAAAACTTTAAAAAGTTCATGGAAGAGGGGCGCCTGCATGGGTCAGCCGCTTGTATGCCAGATACTTGATTTCAGTGCAGGTCATGATCTCGGGGTCCTGAGATTGAGCCCTGTGTGGGCTGCACTCAGCAGGGAGTTTGCTTGAGATCTCTCTTTCTTTCCCTTCCCACCCCTGCCCCCACACTCACATGCTCTCTCTCTAAAATAAATCTTTTTTTTTTAAAGTTCACAGAAGTGAACATTTCTACATAGAACAAACCATCACCCCTTTTATTTCCTTTTTTTTTTTTTTTCCTCAACAGAAGAATCAGTCCAGTCACTTATATCTAACAAGGCTAGAAAACTTACTCAGTGTCAGAAAGCAGGTCAGCTGCAGGGACAACTCATTCAGTAACAATTACTATAAGCAATGTAGTTTTAATAGCTTTATTGATCAGTTTGGACCACCTGAAATTTCTTTAGCTCCACACTGCTAAATGGTTGAGTGTTGGATCTCTACCATGGTCAAGTGTTACAGTCAGGGACAGGCACTCACATATAACAGTGTAAATCACTAAGTTGTAAATTGATTTTCTTGGTGGTTCTTCCTCTTTAAAATTGTCCGCATAAGCGAGCATAGCTCCTAAGAGTTATAAAATTAACATTTGCTTTAATGAACTCCACATGTCTAAAAGTCTTTAGAAGGAGGCTTTTGACCAAGCATTGTGGCTTTTTGGCTTTCTGCAGCTGGAGCACTTTAGCTAGCTAAAACCTGTAATTTAAATCTCTCTTTCCCTCTCTTGTGAATTTACATCAGTTAAACTAGAAAAAAAAAAAAAAAAGACAAGCCTTGTTTTATGAGAATGAGTCCTCTAGATTAGCCCTGAATGACCTTGAGCCATAGTTTTGGATGGCTTGTTTCTATCTTCAGAAGGTTTTGAGTCCCTAATCTCCATGTCTCAGCATCATTTGACTACATGTTCAGGTGTGTAAGAGTGACAAGCACACAGAGAGCATCATTTGTGTGCCAAGCTGAGAACATACCCAATAAGGAGAATATTTTATACTACCTGCTGGAGGAAATGTAGCTTCTCTAAGGAGAGAGCTGGGTGTACTTATTTACAGAAACTTTCATGGTTAAACCTGTATTTCATTTCACCTTATTTGATAATAAGCCAATTTATGATATTAAATCTACAGTGATTACTGTAGACAGCACGTAAGTACAATGCAGAAAACATGCCTCTTTTTTTTTAAATTAAGATTTTATTTATTTGACAGAGAGAGAGAGCACAAGCAGGGTGAGCGGCAGGCAGAGGGAAAAGCTGGCTCCCTGCAGAGCAGGGAGCCAGATGTGGTGCTCAATCCCCCAGGACCCTGGGATCATGACCTGAGCCAAAGGCACATGCTTAACTAACTGAGCCACCCAGCACCCAAAAACATGCCTCTTATAATATTTAATCTTATGTTTTAAGTTAAAATTCTGGTCTTGAATCAAAGTAAAAAAGACCCTAGACCTATAAATTATGACCTTTCAATTTGAGCAGATAAAAGGATTGTGAATGTCTAAGTGTATTGTAACTAACTGTATCAATGCCCTGATTTTTCAGCCTCTTTTGGTCTATGGTTATAATGCAGATAGGCTATTAAATCAGTGTTTGGCAGTGAATTTTTTTTTTGAAGCAAGCGATTTATTCCATTATTACATTTAAGAAACAGATGTGATTTTCCAGCTTTGATATTTATGCTAGTTCCATATTCTGCCTGTCTGTTTGACAGGACATTTTATTTAATTACATCTAATAAAACCTAACAGAGGTTATAATTTAAGAATCTTTCCCCTTGGATCTCATAAAACATTAAGTATCACTTTTATTTAACCATAATTCTTGTCATGCTTTATTACTTTAATTAAAAATTATTAGGGCATTATATAGAGAATATTATGAACTCCAGGCAATTAATTTTTCCCTTTAGACTAATTAAAAGTTGAAAAGATTGCTGGTTCTAATAAGCAATAAATCTAATGAATAATACTGTATGCCAACCATTGCCTTTTATTCTCTCCTAGGTAACAACATCCATTTTATACACCGTGATAAAAATAGGTTGGATCACAAACCCATCAACTCTGTTTTACAGCTTGTAGGAGTTCAGCACGTGGACTTTACAAGCAGACCTTCGGTTATCCATGTGTGATGGTATAGACTGTGGACCCTTGGAATATGACCTGAAATGTTCAGAGTATGGTATCCTTGTGCAATGTCTAGCTTTTTGGCTTTTCACAGCCTTTGAGGAGTTATGAAAACACGAAGAGACTGTGTACTAGTTATTTTGTGCTGGGAGGCATCAGTTGTCAAAAATGTGATATATATTTATAATTCTGTAGCTTTTAAAATTTTATGTAAAATTAAAAAGTTTGTTTATATAAAACTTTAAAAGCTATAAAATTAGAAATACTATTCTTTATTTTACATTATGGTATATCCATTAAATGAAAGTTTCTGTTGGCCATTAAAATAATAAATTCTTTTGAAGAACATATAAATGGAAAGGTAAGCAACTCACCACCATTTTATCCAGTAAAAAAAGCAGGATATCAAATTCTATAAATAATATAATCATTTTTTTTCTTTTTTTAAAAATTAACATATAATGTATTATTAGCCCCAGGGGTACAGTATGTGAATATAATCATTTTTATATGTTTATATTTTTGTATGCTTAGGAAAAAAGAGAAAAACATCAGAATATTGCCAGGAGGTACCTCTATGTGGTAGGGTTACAGGTGTCTTTATTTTCTTTTCCATACTTTTATCTCTGAACTATTCTATAATGAGCATGATTCATTTTTTTGGCCAGGAAAAGTTCTTTAAAAATTATATGAAGAATATATTCCTACATAACAAGTTCCACAAAGTTGCATTTATATGGGCCACTGTCCACATGTTTCTATCCTTATTGCTTTACTCAAAGGAAATATAGCAGACCAAGCCTTTGCATAGCCTATGTTCACAGCACCTTGCACACCCATTACCCATTTCACTAGGAATTTTGCGGGGAGGGGTAAAAGGAGAAAAAAATTTCTTACGTATTTAAGATATGCTTCAGTATGCTTTTTGAAAGAATTCTAAGAATTGTTTAAACTAAAAAAACTTTATAGCTTAAATGTACACTGGTTTGGCTGCCAGATTGCTTTTATTTAGTGTATTGTGGTCATCTTTTATAGGTTTAGTTGGGAAGAAATTCTTTTGAAAAGTACAGTAAGATCAAAATCTTGGTAATTATTAGCAAGTATGTACTGCTTTGAACTTAGAAGCTTTTATATCAGGCATATGAGGTCACACACAAATATATTTTAAGTATCCAAATATTTTAATGTATGTTTGTAAAAAGTCATGTTTTTAATCAATAAAAATGAAATTTCTCATGACATTTAAAATTAAGCAATTTTGTGCTGGTTTTTATAGTAAGGAAGGACTGGTGACCCAGATCCATTTGCTGATTTTAGGCTTAAAACTGCTGAATCATAGCTTACACAAAACTTTATGTATTTATAAATGTATAGCACATTTTCCTAAGATCCATAAATGTTCTTTATGTGGCTTCAGGGAGATATAGGGAGATACAGGGAGATACAAACAGTGCAGTGGTAAATCACCAACCCAAACAAACATATTTAATGCAAAAAATCTTTTTTTGTTGTTAAGATTTTTTTTTTTTTGGTGGGGGAGAGGAGCAGAGGGAGAGGGATAAGTAGATTCTGCTCTGAGCACAGAGCCAGATGAGGGACTCAGTCCCACAACCCCGAGATCGTGACCTGAGCAGAAATCTAGAGTTGGATGCCTGACTGACTGAGCTACCCAGGCACCCTGATACAAAAATTATTTCTCCTAGTTACTGTGAAATATATAAACATGTGCTGTACCAAATAATGTACTAGACTCAAAATTTTGAAAACCCTTCCTACAATAAATACATAGAAATACTATTAGAAGAATGCTATCTATGACTTCCATGGTGCTGATTATTTGCCAGGTAGTATTCCAAGTGCTTAACATTCATTAGCTCTATAGAACTGACATGGTCATCATGCCCATTTCACAGAGAAGAAACTTTTTTTTTTTTTAAGCCGAACTTTTAATAAAAAAGTGAGGAAATGACCAGGGCCAAAAGCAGAAGTAGAAACAATGCTGATGACCATGCCCTGAAGCTGTGGGCTGCTCTGTGGTTTGTGCTCATCCCAGGAATGTTCCTTGGCCAACTGAAAGGCCTCGTGCAGTAGAGGGTTAAAACTAAGACCACCACCTAAAGTAGGGCCTGTGACCTATGCCTGCAACTTGAGACTTCCTGGAGCTTCTAAGAGCTATAGCTGCACCGCAGTCAGATCCATCTATGGAGCCCAGTGAGGAAGTGTTGTAAGACTTCTACAATGAATCAGACGCAACAAAAATTTTAATAAAATGAAAGTGCGTGTTTAATTTAAAAAGTAAATATTTTTGTTTTTCAAGAAGATTGATGATAAGCTAGTAATCTGCATAAAATTTTTATTTATATTACCATCTACCACTGGGGCCAGAGTGATAACATGGACCATGTGAAACTGAGGGACAAACTTTCTAAAGAAGCAGTATCATCTACTCTGAAGATATTAGTTATTTTTTTAAAAGTGTTCCAGAAAATAATTAAAGATGTGCAGTTGCAGAAGGTATATTTACATATCATTCTGTGAAAAATTAGTTTTAGTTTATTTAAATAGCCTGCATGCCCAACATGGGGCTTGAACTCATGACCCTGAGATCAAGAGTCACATGCTCTACTGACTGAGCCAGACAGGCACCCCTAGTTTTCATTTAGAACAGAGTTCTTTTAATCCACTGAGCCACCCAGGCGCCCCAAGAACAGAGTTCTTTTAAATTAATTTTGCTCATTTTCAGTTCCAAGTTTTCTTGTACCCATATAAAAAATGGAGTGGCAGCTATTCATATGCTGGCTCTGTTAGCAGAAAACTTTGAAAATAGGTATAAGATGCCAATTTTATATCTGTATTATATAAATTTGAATGATTACCTATTGTATAAGAATAATGTCCATACTAAAATAAGAAACCTATAGAGCAGAGTATTCTTGGAATTTGTTGTGTATACATATAATGTATAATTGTGTCCAAGCTGTCAGTCAAAATAGATATTATAATTGTTAAAATTTAACACATTTTTAAAAACTTTTTTTATTGTGGTAAAATACACATTACAAAAATTTACCATTTTAACCATTTTTAAGTGTACAGTTCAGTGACATTAAGTATATTCATAGTATTATGCAACCATCACCACTATCCATCTCTAGAATTTTGTCATTATGTCTTACTGACACTCTGTACCCATTAAATAATACCTCTCATGGCAATCGCTGTTCTAACTTTCTGCCTCTATAAACTTGATGACTCTAGGAACCTCTTATAAGTGGAGTCAGATAATATTTATCTGTTTGTATCTGTGTGATTTCACTTAGCATGAAGTCCTCAAGGTTTATCTGTGTTGTATTATGTACCAAAATTTCATTCCTTTCTAAGGCTAAATTATATTCCATTGTACATATATATATTTTATTTATCCATTCATCCCTCAATGGACATTTAGATTATTTCTACCTTTGGGCTACTGTGAATAATGTTACTGTCAACCTTGGAGTACATGTATCTGTTTGATTCCCTGCTTTCAGTTCTTTTGTGTATATACCCAGAAGTAGAACTGCTGGATAATACTGGCATTCCGTGTTTAAGGAACCACCAGACTGTTTGTTTCCCAGAGCAGCTGCATCATTTTATGTCCTGCCAGCCGTGTACAAGGGTTCCAATTTATATTCTCACCAACTTGTTTCTATTTTTTTAGATGTTTATTTGTTTAAGGAATCTCTATATCCAACCTGGGGCTCAAACTCACAACCTGGAGATCAAAGAGTTGTATGCTTGACTGAGCCAGCCAGGTACCCATATTATTATTACCTTTTTTTTTTTTTTTATAATGGCCATTCTAATGGGTGTGAAGTGATATCTTACTGTAGTTTTGACAAAATTTATCAATTTTTAAGCATGTATACACAATAACCAAAGGAAAAAAAATCTATGAGCAGTTGATGTGGAGTAATAATTTTTTTAAGGTAAGCTCCATGCCCAGTGTGGAGCCCCATGCACGGCTTAATTTCATAATCCTGAGATTGAGACCTGAGCCAAAACCAAGAGTCAGACACTTAACCAACTGAGCCACCCAGACACCCCAAAAGTATCCTCCATTTAACAAAATTTTTCCTGAGCTTAACAAGTACCTCAGTACCTGAAGAGACAGAACATTCTCCATTTGAAATGTGGACTATGGGGCACCTGGGTGGCTCAGTTGTTAAGCATCTGCCTTCAGCTCAGGTCAGAATCCTAGGGTCCTGGGATTGAGTCCCGCATGGGGCTCCCTGCTCAGCCAGAAGCCTGCTTGTCCCTCTCCTGCTCCCCCTGCTTGTGTCCCCTCTCTCACTATGTCTCTCTGTGTCAAATAAATAAAATCTTTAAATAAAATGTGGACTACAGAGAAAAATCAAATGAAGAGGTCTACAATTCCAAGTCAATTAACTACAAAATGCAATGTTAGAGAAGGTTAAAGGTAATTTTATTTAAAGTAAATTAAAAATAATTTCAATTAATATAAACTACCACAACTGAACCAGGAATAAATAGAAAACCTGAACAGACCCATAACCAGTATGAAGATTGAAACAGTCATCAAAAATCTTCAAACAAACAAGAGCCCAGGGCCAGAAGGCTTCCCAGGGGAATTCTACCAAACATTTAAAGAAGCATTAATTCCTATTCTCCTGAAATTGTTCCAAAAAATACAAAAGGAAGGAAAACTTCCAAACTCATTTTATGAGGCTAGCATCCCATCAAAAAAGAGAACTACAGACCAATATCCTTGATGAACACAGATGCGAAAATTGTCACCAAAATACTAGCCAATAGGATCCAACAGTATGTTAAAAGGATTATTCACCACAACCAAGTGGGATTTATTCCAGGACTGCAAGGTTGGTTCAACATCTGCAAATCAATCAATGTGATACAATACATTAATAAAATAAAGAACAAGAACCATATGATACTCTCAATAGATGCTGAAAAAGCATTTGACAAAGTACAGCATCCCTTCTTGACCAAAACTCTTAAAAGTGTAGGGATAGCGGGCACATGCCTCAATAGCTTCAAAGCCATCTATGAAAAACGCACCGCAAATATCATTCTCGATGGAGAAAAACTGAGAGCTTTTCGCTAAGGTTAGGAACACGGCAGGGATGTCCATTATCACCACTGCTATTCGACATAGTACTAGAAGTCCTAGCCTCAGCAATCAGACAATTGAAAGAAATTAAAGGTATCTAAATCAGCAAAGAAGAAATCAAACTACCACTCCTTGCAGATGCTATGATACTTTATGTGGAAAACCCAAAGACTCCACTCCAAATCTGCTAGAATTCGTACAGGAATTCAGAAAAGTGTCAGGATATAAAATCAATGCACAGAAAGCAGTTGCATTTCTTTATACCAACAACAAGACAGAAGAAAGAAAAATTAAGGAGTCGATCCCATTTACAATTGCACCCAAAACCATAAGATACCTAGGAATAAACCTAACCAAAGAGGCAAAAAAATCTATACTCAGAAAACTATAACATACTCATGAAAGAAATTGAGGAAGACACAAAGAAATGGAAAAATGTTCCATGCTCCTGGATTGAAAGAACAAATATTGTGAAAATGTCTATGCTACCTAAAGCAATCTACACATTTAATGCAATCCCTATCAAAATACCGTCCATTTAAAAAAAAATGGAACAAATAATCCTAAAATTTATATGGAACAAGGAAAGACCTCGAAAGCCAGAGGAATATTGAAAAAGAAAGCCAAAGTTGGTGGCATAAAAATTCCGGACTTCAAGCTCTATTACAAAGCTGTCATTATCAAGACAGTATGGTACTGGCACAAAAACAGACCCATAGATCAATGGAACAGAATAGAGAGCCCAGAAATAGACCCTCAACTCTATGGTGAACTAATCTTCGACAAAGCAGGAAAGAATGTCCAATGGAAAAAAGACAGCCTCTTCAACAAATGGTGTTGGGAAAATTGGACAGTCACATGCAGAAGAATGAAACTGGACCATTTCCTTACACCACACAAGAAAATAGACTCAAAATGGATGAAGGACCTCAGTGTGAGAAAGGGATCCATCAAAATCCTTGAAGAGAACACAGGCAGCAACCTCTTCCACCTCAGCCGCAGCAACATCTTCCTAGGAACATCGCCAAAGGCAAGGGAAGCAAGGGCAAAAATGAACTATTGGGACTTCATCAAGATCAAAAGCTTTTGCACAGCAAAGGAAACAGTTAACAAAACCAAAAGACAACTGACAGATGGGAGAAGATATTTGGAAACGACATATCAGATAAAGGGCTAGTATCCAAAATCTATAAAGAGCTTATCAAACTCAACACTCAAAGAACAAATAATCCAATCAAGAAATGGGCAGAGGACATGAACAGATATTTCTGCAAAGAGGACATCCAGAAGCCCAACAGGCACATGAAAAAGTGCTCCACATCACTCAGCATCAGGGAAATACCAATCAAAACCACAATGAGATACCACCTCACACCAGTCAGAATGGCTAAAATTAACAAGTCAGGGAATGACAGATGCTGGCGAGGATGCGAAGAAAGGCGAACACTCCTATACTATTGGTGGGAATGCAAGCTGGTGCAACCACTCTGGAAAACAGCATAGAAGTTCCTCAAAAAGTTGAAAATAGAGCTACCCTATGACCCAGCAATTGCACTACAGGGTATTTACCCTAAAGATACAAACGTAGTGATCCGAAGGGGCACAGGTTTATAGCAGCAATGTCCACAATAGCCAAACTATGGAAAGAACCTAGATGTCCATCATCAGATGAATGGATAAAGATGTGGTATATACACACACAAGCGCGCACGCGCGCATACACACACACACACACACACATACATACAATGGAATACTATGCAGCCATCAAAAGAAATAAAATCTTGCCATTTGCGACAACGTGGATGGAACTAGAGGGTATTTCGCTTAGCGAAATAAGTCAATCGAAGAAAGACAACTATCATATGATCTCCCTGATATGAGAAAGTGGAGATGCAATGTTGGGCGGCTGGGGGTAATAAAAGAATAAATGAAACAAGAATGGGATCAGGAGGGAGACAAACCATAAGAGAGTCTTAATCTCACAAAACAAACTGAGGGTTGCCAGGGGGAGGGGGGTAGGGAGAGGGTGGTTGGGTTATGGACATGGGGAGGGTATGTGCTATGATGAGTGCTGTGAAGTGTGTAAACCTGTAAACCTGGTGATTCACCGACCTGTACCCCTGGGGCTAATAACATATGATTATAAAAAAATTAAAAAATTGTTAAAAAAATAATAATTTCAATTAAAAATAATAAAACTGGCATGCCTGGATGGCTCAGTCAGTTAAGCATCTGTGTTCAGCTCAGGTCATGATCTCGGGGTCCTGGGATCAAGCCCCAAATCAGGCTCTCTGCTCAGCAGGGGGACTGCTTCCTTCCCCCTTTCTCTCTGCCTGCTTCTCTGCCTGCTTGTGATCTCTCTGTCTCAGTCAAATAAATAAAA